ACCTCTTCGGGCCGTTGATTGGCGTAGAGGAGCGTCGAGTCGTTCGTAACGAGAGATTGATTGGCGAGAGAAGGGGTTTGAGAGGAGGACTGGAGAGAGGTTTTGGCGATCGCTGTGGAGGCGAGTAATGCCAATACGGCGGCCCAATAGCCCACACACGACACGACCAACAGTTTGCTCACCGTTTGAATAATGGCTGACAAATGATCGCCGCTTTTGTCGCGACTCTTGGAGTAGTCGAAGAGCGCCAACAGTTCCGTATACGTCATGCCAGTGGCGCCCCTCCTATTGGACTGGTTCACGGATATGAGTGCTTCCACTTTCGACAGCTGCCGCACAAACGTCTCGCAGTCGACAAACAGCGACCAATTGATGGCTTTGAGGAATTCGCGCTCTAATCGGTTCAGTTGCTTGACGTCGATGTTGGCAGAGTTGGCCCACTCGTCGTTGAACACCTCGTCGTCCTCTCCGTCGTCGAACAGGAACTTCGAGGCTATCATCTGATGGACACACAGACAGACACGAGTGTCAATGGGTATCAGTACGGGTGGGACACAGAGTGTGTCAATGGGTTCATAGCAGTGGAGAGCAGAGGGAGACAGATATAGTGGTGTCAATGGATTCAAAGACAAATAGTCAATGGATTCATTGCATCACAAAGACTATGATATAGTGATTGCTATCTGACAGCCACTCAAACAGTGGTAGATATCAATGGGATTCACTTCGGCGATAGTGAAGACAAGTCATGCTTACGATGGAGACGAGGAAGAGGTCGCAGGTGGAGACGCGTCGCAAATACTCGGGTGACTTGGCTTTGAGTCTCTCCAAGTAGATCATCGCAAGCATTATAGACGTGGGAGTAATGCACGCCTGACGGGACACCTGCGCCGCGAACGTCATGTCAAACACGTCCAGCCCTTTGGCGCCGGAGGTCACCGTCCGGTCGAAGAGGTCGACCGTCACTTCCGTCAACGGCATCGACGGGTAGTCTATGGTCTCATGTGATCCACACTTTATGCTCCCGTAGTATAACGACTTCCGGAGCCTATAGTCCAGCGACGAGTGATTCTTCATTGTCTGCGAAACACATGACATTACCATTGGATTCAATGAGTGATAATTGAGTGGTAAACAGACATCGCGTTTCAATACATACATTGAAATGACGGCTCATTTTCGACGATTTCACGCAATTGTCGGTCATTTGAATAGTCATTGAAATCTCGCATCAAATCGTAATCAACAATGAAATCAATACTCAATTCATTCACTCATTACTCAGTTATGACGACAACATCGCATCAAACGCCACATACAGTCACACAGACCTCACGTCTCCACACATGCGCTACACTCGCGCCGCAAGTCCACACATATTCCCAACTATTCCCACATTTTCACGAATATTCCCCAGTATTCTGTGTATTCTTATGGTATAAAATTATTTTTACAATTTGAATAGTTTTTAAATTGATCACACCCTGATCACTTTCTATTAAATATTCTGACTTTATCAGTAGTTATTACTATACTGGGAATTGGTGGGGAATATGTACGCAATTATGTTGTACTCCACAATATTAGGTAGGAATTTGCATATTAATATAATATCACAGAACTGGTCATAAAAAGCGTTACATATTTAGTGGGAATATATTCCTAATTATAGTACCATTTATGCCATAAAACAATTAATTCTGTAAACTATAGTTAATTGATTTGACACACCATACGAGAATTAAATGCCACAAAATATACATGTAGTCACCATATATGGTGTATAGTTTAGTATGTGTTGAATATTATCAGGATACTGTAATATCATACATAGAATGATCGTACGATTATGCAAGTGTGTGATTATGACTGCTCATTTTATGTGGCAAAACTTGCGGAACAGGGAGTATAGCCTACATTGACTGCCATTCTATGAGAAACAGTCTTACAAACAGTGGGAGTATTGTCTGACTGCGTGGGCATACGATCGCCGCATAACACGAGTCTGTATTCAATGTATGCGACAATCAATTGACTGACAATTTGTTTGACAATCACTTCAATTGTATTGAATTTTGTGCTATAATTGTATTTGTGGTGAAGTTAACAAACTGTGGCTACTATTATCACTGCCAACCACTCTCTGTTGACACTATCACCATAACTGATCCATTAGAACTTTGGTCATTAAGTGTAAGTTTATGTAACTAATCATAACTTTGTGTCAATTTTAGTATTTTGTCGCA